AGGGGCAGCTGAGGCGGGAGGGGCGCGGCCCGGGGCAGCCGTTACGCGCGCGCGGCCGTTACGCGGCGGCCGTTACGCGGCGGCCGTTACGCGGCGGCCGTTACCCGCGCGCGGCCGTTACCCGAGCTCGCGCTGGTGTCTCTGCAGTGCGGAGCAGGAGCGCGGCGAGGGCGGCCGCCCGTTAAGCAGCAGCGCGGCGGCCACGAGGGCGGGAAGGCAGCGTGTGGAGCAGGTGCGGGCGGCTCTTCATCCTCATCAGTGTCCTGTTTTCCCTTGGTTTTCTTTTTTTATTGTGTTTTCTACTGGGCTTTTGTGAGGGAACCCCATCCCGAAGGGGGCTTCTGGGCTCAGCCCAAGGCGGCTGGCGAGCCCTCCTTGCTGCTAGTAAATAACAGGGCTTCAAACAACCCTTTTGCTGGCAAGTGAGGAATCTGGCCAGGGCCTTAGTTCAGTTAGAATAAACGGCCTCAATCATTGCCAGGTATGTGACTATCTGCTTTGCTTTCTTTTTCCTCTCTTCTCCCCCCCACCTCCTTTTAACTCCCCTCCAAAGGGGATTTGAAATTCAGAGTCTTTTTTTTTTTTTTTTGTCTCATGGGTCGTTTTCCAAATGTGAGCACTGAGCGGGTGGGTATATGCAGCCCTCTGTGCTGAGCGAGTGTTTTGGGGTGAGGGAAGCTGCGCTTCTGCATTTCCTGACCACACTTTGTCACATAACCGAGCACTCTGCACAGAGTCAGAGAACTGACACACTTGCTCCTTAAATTTAGCTCAGTTTGTGAGAATTTTATTTGAATTTTGACTTTGTTGCTGTTGCCTTGCAATTAAAGCATATCCCAGTCAGCTGCATTGGTTAATTTTCTAGTTCCATCAAAATAGGCTCTACTTTCCTCCCTTCTTTTCATAGAGTGGCCTTATCCAAAACAAGAAAACCCGTCTAGTTACTGTAATTCAACCAGTGAGATAGGATCAGTCTTAGAAGCTACAGTCCAATTTTTTTTTTAATGCAGTACAAATGCAGCATTAACAGTTTTGACTGTCAGTTTTCTTTGGAGATGCCAGTGCTTTCCCTCTGAAATGCATACTGCCCCTACCTGAAGTAAGCTAAAATGGAGACTCAAGTGCACAAATTGCAAATGTATGCTGCAGATCAATGAGGATGGGCACCAAAAGCAACTAGGCGGCTTTAAGAATCAATCCCCTGTGGCTAAAGTTGTCCAAGGATGAGGGTTAGATCCTTGTCTAACAGGTTCTAGGTGGGGAAGAGCCTGGTGCAATGTCAGGCTCATGACCCTTGGATCTACATTTTTCCAGTCTGAATTTGGGTATAGAAACCTGCACGTATGCGTTTGCTTAAAGCATTTTGGTAAACAGAGGCTACCATGATGCTGAAGTAAATCAGTGAGGATTTACTGAATCCAGTAAATTTTGCAGCTAGAATTTTGCATGCAATTTGTCTGGAAGAAGTGCCCCAAATAAATTTTGGGTTATTAAGTTTTTTAAGGCTTTTTTTTCCCCCTCTCTCTGTGATCTGTTATGTTTCTTGTAGGTAATCATTCTGCAAGGTAGCATCTTTTCAGTCTGCTCATGTATGCAGTGAGCATTGCCACAAAGCTTTCAGACGCCTCTAGTATTTTCCCGACACAGCACTGCAGTGTTCTGGTAAGCACTGAGCAACAAGTTCAGACCTCTCAGTAACATACACATGGCCAATTTGTTCTAATTAGTTACAACAGGTAAATAAAAAGGTTTGGGCTAGTAGTTCCTGAATGGTCCCAGAAAACCTCGTTTCTTAGTAATTGTTTGTCAAATAGTTTGTAGGTGAAGTAGCCAAGCAGGAAAAGGTGGTGTTAAGTGAAAGACAGCTTCCAGCTGTAGGCAACCGGAATTGATTAGCTTACCCATTCCCATATGTTTTCCTTGGATTATCGTTGGAGTGTTGAGATCCTGTCGCCAGACGTGTGGAGGTAAAGCCYTAACTTTTACGGGGAGGAAGCTCTGGATGCCTGAGCCTGCGAGGGTGTTTTGGCCCCGCAGCACACCCAAATGAGGGCAGCCCTTTTCTAAATGTGCAGGGTCCAGATGTGGCAAATAGAGCTCTAGTTACTGTGTGAGTCTCCAAAGAGATGTCACTTGGAAAATAGAGCATCTTTTTATTCCCTCTTCAAAGACACCAAAGGATCTGCTTATAATTAATGCTGAGAATAGTTTTTCCCTTTTGAATAATGCTACTGAAAAAGGTTCCGGATTCTTCCTCTGAACACATTATCTTTAATTAAAAGCATCCTTGTATGTAAAAATGGGTATCTACTTTCTAAAATAGCATTGGCTTTAATGTCTTGGCCATGCTAGACAGGGCAGGGCAGCTAGCTCACAATGAGATGTGAATAGCTTTACTTTAGTTGKTTTTTTTTTTTAATTTTTTAATTTTTTTATACAGCCTTATCAGTGTATCTGCACTCAAGTGCACTCTGCAGTTACTGAGTTACTGAGAGCACTCTCATTGGCACCGCTGGGAATGTTCCCGTGGGCCTCGCTCCAGCCAAGCTTTGCTGGCTGCTCTTTGCAGGGCTGCATGGTGCTGTTTTGTGACGTGTTCGTTGGGAGGAGGAGGAGGAGGAGGAGATCATCTGTGTCCATGTTCACTGATGGAGAGTTTGTGCTGCTGGGGTGGGTAACAGGAGCTGAGTTCTGCCTTCCTCCTTAGAAAAGCTAACAGGCCTCCAGCATTCCTGTTTTGAAGCATCTCTATTGGAGATGATTAGTTTAAACCCAGTAAACAGCCCAAGACTAGCATAGGCTGAGCAAACTTCTTTTATTTATCTTTTTTTTTTTAATTTCCTCTAATTCAAGCAGTTCTTGTCATATTTCTTGTACCGAGCAGCAGGTATTTTAAATTTCCTTTTGAGCTTTGCAATGAAGGCACGTAACTCTCACTATCACTTTGTCCTGTATATCCTGACTGTCCATCACATCTGTACCCTGGTTATGCTTTACAGGCTAATGGAAGGTGAATCTTTCAGTTTCAATGGCCACATATTATGAATCAATATCAAATTGAAGCTCCATTGAAGAACACAGTTCTCTTGCCTACTGTATCTTGAGTGTTAATTACTCTGAAGTGGTGGATAAAGGTAGCACACTTCTAGGCTTCTTTAAATCCAAATGGAACTTAAGTATTTAGTGGTTATTAAGAGAGAGATGAAATAGCAAGAATTGTTCTTGTTACATGTTTACTCTGGCACATCCTTTTGGTGTTGCAGTATTTGACAGAAAATGACGACTACCATCTGTTCCCCTCCTCTCTCATCATGTAAAGTTCCTTTTCTTGTTGCGAATGAAGTCTTCTTAGGAAGGTAACAAGTTTCAGTTCCATTCCCATAGTCACAATTATTAAAAAAAGAAAAACAAACTTTTTAAAAAAATCTCAAATATATTTGACTTTTGTTCATGCTGCCCTCACTGTTGGGAATCATTATCCTGATTTATATTTACAATGTGCGCATCATCTTGCTGCTGCTCAGCAAGCTGCCAGAAATTTCTTCTGGAAATCTTTATGTTCATCGTTTTCACCTACCTTGAACTGAAAGATTGTCGTGTACTTTGTTCTTAGTACTTTGAAGTGCACGTTTTCAAACCATGTTTGCATTCTTTTTGTTGCTGTGCTGTGTCACTATCAATTCTGCATACGTTAATAATTAAAAGCTATAATGACACAGTTTTCTCACACTGATAATACAAAAAGCCTATAAAGCTGCTAGTTGAAGAAGATCTTCCCTCTCTGATTTGGTGAAAGACTCTTAAAGGATTAGATGAAAGGAAAAATACACTGTAAACAGAAGTATCTGTGYTCTGCCTGTATCACCATCCAGTATGAGATAAATCTGAGCCTTATCTAGAGATCAGACTGGGCAAGAGGCTGGTGATAATAATATCAGATGGGAGGAAAATAACCTGAGAGCAACCTGGTGATGTTGAAAATAGGACCTCAATTTCCCTTATGGTCTGTGGAACAGTTACCTCAATGGCATCTCCTTCTCTGCAATATCGACCTCTGAATTCACCTGCATGTCTTTACTCCCCATCATAACTTGAAGATATTGGCATAGGATAAGGGGATTTAACTCATTATTGCTAGAAACTCTGGAAGGCAAAACAGAACAATGTGCTATTCRTAATTTCTTTTCAGAAATTAAATGTTGAAGTAAAGCCCTAGATGTTTTTTGGAGCCTATTTTATTTCCTCTGTTGTATCACGTAGCTGGCTGGACAGTGGGTATGTAGCATTTCTTAAACTCTRTGCTGGCATATTATCCTTGTCTCTCTCAGCTTGGGGTAGGAGCGGCAAGCAGAGGCAAAATAAGCAAAATAGAGAAAAATGAGACACTCTTAAGCAGCACATAAGAATGTGAGGGGCATGGATTTGAAACGACAAGTCATGTKGCCTAAGTCTGCATTCTTTCAGCTTGAGTAACTTCCTCTTTACAAGTGTGGCATGCGATACTTTAATGGCACTGGGAGATGTGCAGCTGCTGGGGGTCAAAGCTTGAATACGCCCTCCGAGGGAGGCAAAATGGGGAAGAGTGAACTTAGGCCCACGATTCTTTTTGTTTATGCTCAGCTAAGTTCGGGTCTAACTGCCTGCGAGATTTCTGTCTAGTACTGACCTATTCACTGCACTTGAATTCTACAGAGAAATCTAGGTGAGAATACAGAAATTCAGTCTAGATACTCAATCCCCCCCAGATRAACTGCATCAGGGATTTAGCTGCCATAAGCAAAACTTATGGGTGCTCCCAGAGCTGTAAATCAKCTCTCTCTTGGTTGTTCCTGTTGGCTCTTCCTGTTGGGTTCCTATTGTGCCGGCTGCCTCTGGATAGGGAGCAATCTCAGATCAGATTGTGGAGCAGCCTAATACAATCTGTTCCTCCTGCTTTGGAGCTGCCATTGTGCACCACCTCCATGCAGCAGCACTATCACAAATGGTGCATTTCTTATCGGGAGAGGACAGAGCTCTYGGGTTTGTATTTCCTGCCTTTCATTTACTTCCTGGTGTGGGAAGCTTTGTTTTATCTGGTGCTCAACTCTCTGTTTCCTTCAAAATGATACAATCATTTTGTGCTCRCCTGGGAGAAATGATTTGTTGCCAACAGAGCAAGTTTGACATTGCTCTGCTATTCTGAAACCTGTCATAAYGTTCCATGAACAAGGCAGTTAGGAAGTTTTTTATACACAAGCRTCCTGACCTCATGTTTTTTCATGTGTTTCGTGTGTTACGCAGAGACAAAACATGGTGCCCAGAGGTGGCAGGACACAGAATGCTGGGCAGCTTCTGGGACTGTGCTGTGGCTTGGTCCCCTCCAGACTGTCCTAAGGGACCCTGTTAGAGGCCAGGAGGTTCTGAAGACCTTCAAGGGGCTGCTTTTACTTTCAGGCCTSCTGGGAAGAGTAAGCTGCAATTGCTGCTCTCCAAACAAACCAG